TTCGGCCGGCTAGGTGGGGAGGTGCTTCGGCCGGTGTCGGAGGGCGCGGTGTCCCGGCCCTCCTCTGTGTACCAAGTCCCTGCCTGGTACCAGTCTCTTGCTTTGGTATTGCAGCCAGTAGTCATCTCCATGATCCTTAGAGCCCGGGCTGTACCCTGGTGTGGACCGGTCCTGTCGGTGCATGCCCTTAGCAAAAAGGGTGCGCCACATGGCTTTCCATTGGTCCACACAGGCTCGGCGCCCTGCTGTACAGAGCACAACCGGCCTGTGGCCGTGGTAGCTGTCGGATTCGTCCTGGGACGCAGAGGTGAGAAGGTTGGCTCGGTTTTTTCAACTGCGCGCCAATCGCCCCTCTACTGAGTTATGGGTTACGTGCACCAGGCGGAGGTCACTGTCAAAAGAGAAAAGAAAGGATAATAAAAATGTAATAAAATGTTGAGTATGAAAATGTTTAGTTTGGGGGAAAAACTAGTGGCTTCAGGCCACTGTGACTTTACGCTTTCTTTTCCATTTTTATTCCATAGTTATTATTATTATTATTGTTATTAATATTGATATGTTTATTTTCAGGTGTGGGTTCACCTTCGGTCCCCGTCACTTTGTAGGGAGGCCAACCCTTCGAATATTACCTGCACTGGGTCTGCGCATTTAAGCTCTGCGCAGTAGGACCCCAGTAGATGTATTGGAGGCCAGATACAGTGGTGTCTGTGTGGACCCTGTGTCACTATTCCAAGCAGAGCTATGGCGCGAAGGAAATTTGAACCGCCACTTTCTGTAATTATTATTATCATTCTTATTATTGTCTTACCGATTTAGGACACGGTTTACCTTTTAATTTTTAGTCACTTCGCGGGAAATCCAACGGTCCGAATTTCTGGATCTGTGGCTATGGCCCAAGTTGGCCGACACCAAGTACCCTCGGAATGAACCCCAGTTGAGCACCGCGCGGTGATACCTCAAAAGAGAGGGGCGACCCGCGACCGCATCGGTAGGAGGTTTATCACCCCTCTGTGAAGGGTCATAAGCCCCCTCCTTGCCATCGGACACGGGCACCCGGTGAAAGTAGTCAGACGGTGTATTATGAAGAGGAGCAGGATCAGTCGGTATCCCATTATGGGACCGTCATGTTCGACTCGTTGGTCCTTTTCAGGCCAGGGAAGCGTTTCAATGATCGGTAATGAGTAGACACTGAGGCCGTTGAGTCTCAAATTCGGGCACCACTTGAAAATTGCTTAGTTCCAGTTAATTTTATTATTTTAAAGACCTTTTAGAATTCCAAAATCTAGAAGAGGACAGAAGGGACTAAATCGAGTCCGCCAGCAAGGACGTAGGGATTGAGGTAGAGAGGGATCTTATAAGATGGAGCAGTGAGGTAAGGGATGCGTGCAATCTGCGTGCGTACTTCTGCTTGTATGCCTAGCGGCTGGTGCAGGCCATTCGAGTCTGAAGGCAGAGTTGGTATTGTATCTACTGAACTAATTCCGGCTATCGCAAAGACCGTGGCTATGGCATTGCACGGATATAGACCCTGCTATTGGTACCACCAGGCTCGGTGGAAACCCATGGTGGGGGAAGGGCCCTGGATCACAGTTATACTCAACCATGACGGAGGGGACGAGCTGAGGCTGAAGATTAACGTGGAAGGGGCTAAGGAGGAGGAGATGCGGAATGACCCAAAACTGCAGGCCGCTATTACTGAGGCGAAGGACCAGGCGGAGCGGCGCTGCAGAAGGGACGGGGTCATAGCAAAAATGCAAGTAACGGTCTCATATCATGAGACCGAGACCTCGATGGATACGGCGGACTGGGAGCAGGCCCACCTGGAACGGGACTCAGGTGGGGAGAGCGAGATGAGCGAGGCGAAGGATCGGGAGACGGACCTCAGCTCCTGGAATAGACCAGGAGAAGTCCAGAGATACCACAAAGCCGCGAAGCCAGTGGAAGAGGGCCCAATTGCAAGCTCGCGACAGCTGGTGCCCAGAGGTCGCGGGACGGGTGAGAAGCCGAGCAAGGGGAAAAGGCAGGTCTGAGAGAACACACGCGCGCGAGAGTGTGAACGGGATTTGAACCCGAAATGGGAAAGTTGAGGCAAGAGAAGTGGCACAGGCACCTGGGTGACGTGTGGCGCGCTCTGAGAAAAGGGGGCGCGAGAAAATAGCCAAGCACGAGGGCGATGAGGAGAGGCGGCTACGACGGTCTTGCTCGAGAGCGGCCCCATGTGTGTGTATGAGAGGAGGTCAACGAGAGAGAGAGCCCAGGCAGATGAGCAAGGGGCAACTTTGCGAGGTACGGTTGATGTCAACCGCTGTCACTGCGTTTGCTCGTGGCGCCCAGCGTTTGCTGAACTGCAGCAAACCTCTTATGCTGTGTTTAACCAGGGGAAAAGGGGGGCGCCAAGGTGAACAAGGGAGGAGAGGCGAGAGCTGATTGTGCCAGTTGACGTCAACTCATGCTTTCGTCGCCAGCGGGTGATGTCGACCCTCTCTGTGTTTAGACAAGGGAAAAAAAAAAAAAAAAAGAGGGCGAGCAGTCACGAGAGAAAGAGAGAGGGTCAACGTACAGGGAGATTTGGTGGAAGAGTTAGGCTGCTCAGTGGCGAAAGAAGAGCAATAGAGAAGAGAGATAATTGATAGTTGATAGGGAGGAAGAGGAAAGGTTACCGGAGGACAACGCGAAAGTGCAAGCTAGGAAGAAGACAGGCGAGGGAAACTCGGGTCGGGCCTGTACTGGGAGATACCAGGGATTGAGCCATGAGGGGGGTCATACGCTGGCTACCCGCGGCGCGGCTCGACGTGTGTGAGCTGATCGGTGAGAAGGATAGATTGGGTGAGCGAAATGGGGCACGAGCTAGCAAGGTGAGACTGACGCTATCAGCAGCCCCACACTCGTGGAGTGTTTCTTGCGCCTACTACGGTGACGAAAGGACAGTCGGGAAGATCCTACCAGATTGGGAGGACAGCAACCATCAAGAGAGGGTAATCTGCGATGTATGGAGGGAGTCACCATTTGACAACAAACTTGGCCAAGAACTAGCTGATGCGAGAGCCTCATTTCTCTTAAGGCGATCTCACTTACCAGCTGGCATGCTTGCTCAGATAGCCACCTGTCTCACTAACTTCGAGTGACTTTCAAATTTGTAACAGGTATTGTTATCCAAAGTCATTGACGCGCCTCTCTGTAGTTGCATTGGTCGAACCCTCAGATAAGATAGTAGCCGTTACGAGATAATTTTCTTCGCTTTATTAATTTTTGTTTCCTTTTTTTATTTTCTTTTTCTTCTTTGTTTAGCAAATTAGAAAGATTGACCATTATTAACTGACCGCGTTTCGTTTTGACATGAGGTGAGCCCGCAGTAGACTGTGTAAGATGGTGAACTGGGGAAAAGTCCAGATTCATGGTGGCAATTTGAGACGTGCGGGCCATGAAAAAAATCCAACGTATGGGCCATTAGTCTGAGAGAATAAGCAAGACTGAGGCAGGCGGATAATCTTGGTGTTGGCACTTGTCTACTGGGTGTACTCCTCTACTTTGAGTGTTTTATTTGATTACTTGTCAAAGTCAAAGAGACATGCTGCCTTTGTATTTCGTGCGTTTAATCCCCACGAAGACGGAGTTTACAAATATAGTTGGGATACAAACCTTTCCTTTTCGTTCTCTCCCACACGGGACTGCTCGGTGTTGATTGTGTCATCTGTCACACTGTGTGACTACACCGCGTGACTACACCGAGTGACTACACCGAGTGACTACACCGAATGACTACACCGTGTGATTGCACCGTGTGGGTACACTGTGTGACTGCTCCGTGGGACTGCGTTGGGTGACTGCACGGGTGTGTGAAAGCATAGGTTTGCATGTGCTCACTTGATTGAATGGGTGACTTGATTGAATGGTTACCCATAGTGGTATGAGTTCGTTTTTGTCCTGTGATAAATCGAGTGCGAGACTGTACAAACCTGCAAAAGTCTGTGTGTGTAGACAAATGCTCGACTGAATGTACTTGTTGGCTTGACGATTATAAGCAGGCATTTGATCGAATACGCTGTCGGCGCGAATACCAAGGGTATCCGCCCTGGTTTTTGCAAGTGACAGGAAGGTTCGGCTTACCTGGATTTTGAATGCCCGTGCGGGAAATGTGAGGGTTGTCCGCGTGCGGGCAAAGGTCTGCTTTGTCCCGGCAAGAAGTATGTGGGCGCGTAAATTTGAGGCGCGCGTGTGATTTATTTTATTTTATTTATTGAAGTAGGTGGCCGATCTAGTCGACCAGCCCAGGTCGTGTTACGAGTTTGGTTAGGGGTAAGGGTCTGTTCCCTTTCCTATTCTTTGGTCGGCGCGCTGTTGCACTTTTTCCAGTCGGGCTACTTCGGGCGACCAGAAAGCCAACAGGCTGTCACGCAGGATTTTGTAAGTGATTGCAATAAGTAAAATAAAATTAATTAATGCAAATCCCTTCCTGTTGTGTGCGTCCGGCTTCGAGCGAGACCCTTCAATTGCGGTCTTCGCCGGTYCCCRRTCTTAGGAATCTTTTATTTTGATTCGGAACAGCAAASAATTATGCAAATAATAATCATAAAATTATSGGRTGCTATGCATGCATCAATTATGTCAATCTGATTTTGAGAACTGTGACAAAACATCCGCAAAGGCAATCATCGAACAAGAACAATGCAGAAAATAAGACTGACTGACTCGAGCAAAGACAGGGGCAATTGAGTGAGGGAAGAATGATAACTCATAATGATCTCAGGAAGTACACATAGACGAGCGTGGTCAGCACCTCTCAAGAGTCCTCACTCATCCCTCTGGTCCGTCTCTCTCAATCTCTTTTCACTACTCCTCTCTGGTGCCGAGATCCACTCCTACGTACAATCTGAGACTGAGGCCTCGTGACGAAAAGCCACATGTAGCCGGCTAGCTCTGAGCATGACCATCCGAGGCACATGACACGGTAGTTAATCATGGAGCAAAACTCCTCCCACAAAGTAGGTAATCCATCCACTGAAAAGACTCCTCGTCTGAGGTAAGGATACTCAGTAGGCTCAGTTAATGCCTCAATATCGATCACAACCGGAGAGATGTACCTCTTTGTCAATCCAATCACATCCAACCAACTCGTATCATCTGTGAGAAGTGAAGGGACTGGAGGCCTAGGATAATCAGTGTAAAGCATCGGCCCGAAGCCGCGAATCAACGTAGTGCCACGCTCATCGAGCTCCCTCTCTCTCTGCTTAAGGTATTCAGTGGCTGAGATCCAGACAGAATAAAAAAACTCATGAGTCTCCTTGCCTTTCTTCAGATAAGGCCTCAAATCGTGGATCGTGTCATCAACAAAACTGGTCTGGACAATGAAGATTGACAGATCTCCCTGTCTGAAATCAATGACACTAACATACCGATAATGAAATGTCTTTTTGCATGAGATCCGATTGAGGCTGGCCAGTACCGACTCACTGATCGGAGCAGACTGAACTGTGCTCATGAGTACTCTTGTCCGTACAAGCTGACCAGACAATCCCTGAGAACAGGTTACCAAACCGATTGCAGGAAACTGATTGCTGAAAACTGATTGCTGAAAATTGATTGCTGATCAGATGATTACCGAATATCCGGATAAGTTCTCGTTCAAACAAAACACTCACCGATGGCAGCCTACAGTCCTCTTTGCTTCTTCGATAGTACCTACTGAAGTTATGGTGGCACACAGTCTGCCGCTCTTATCATGCAAGTAGTATGTGTATTCAATTTTTGTATGATTCCTCACGAGACCCAGTGCATGTTCCATCATCGCAGTAGTCTGCTGGTTGTACTCCTCGACTGCACTTTCCTTAAAGTCCTTGCAGTGCTCTCATACAGTGAGCAGGAAACTCTAACTGCGTTGCTACTGTCCATAGCCTCGCTGATCTCTCGCTACAACTCAAAATGGATGACTCATGGATGATCCAGGTATGTAAAGGCTGCTGGGTTGATTGTTGTTTAGAGCAGTTGTTCCTGATTGTTGCTCTCCGGTTTGCTGCTCTTCGAATTAACTGTCTCGTTGATTGGATTTTGAGTTAAATAGCTGCTGAACCACCATTAAAAGCCGTCTCGATTGACTGTTTCGCTGGTTAAATGCCGACTAAAACTTTGATTGTTTTGCTGACTAATTGCTGCTTTCCAAATGCTGACTCCGAATGTTGGTTCTGAATACTGATTCCGGATATTGATTCCGAATGCTGGTTCTAAATACTGATTCCGGATACTGATTCCGGATACTGATTCCGAATGCTGTTCAAAAGAAACTGATTAACAGTTAATCAAAAAATTAAATGAGTGCTGATAGAGAACTGACTAGCCAAGGGAACTGAGCGTGACTGAGAAGCGCATGAACACTGTTTTGTATTCGTTACAAGTTCCGAATACTGCCTGAGTATTGAATTCCGTTCTGTGCAGTTTTGAGAGCTGCTCTGAGTACTGCCTTCTGCTCTGAATACTGAATTCTGTTCTGAGCAGTTTTCGGTACTGCCCTGAGTACTGTCCAAGTTTCATCTGAGTTTCACATAAGATTCACTTGAGAGTTTCATCTGAGTTTCATCTGAGCCGAAAGGCCACTAAGGTCTGATCAAGCAGCGGGGGAGCATTAATAAGTAGGAACAGATTATTAATAAACTCTGAACCGCTGAGACGTGAGTAACGTTTTTGGGGTGAAGCCTCCAACACACTATGCCAGTCCAAGTTTAGTTTTGGCCTGCTCCACTGACTCTAGCGTGGAACTGGTACTGTGCAGTTTGTTGTCAAATCCGTAGAAGTAGACCACATACGCGATGTATTTTCTCTCTCGTGCTATTCCAATCGCAAACTCTCTCTGAGTTAGTCTGTGCTTTTCTGCATCTTTGCACGCCTCTTCCTCCCAGCCTTTTCCCTTGGCTCTGTTAGACCTGCCCTTAATCACTAGGATCTCATCTCTTTTCATGATTCCCCAGTCTCTTCGAGGTTTAGGCCGCAGCCCGAATGAAATAAGCAGACTTGATGCGCTTCGACCGTTGCTTAGGGTCTGCCAAAGTGGTAAGCCGCTACCATTTACAGGCTGTCACCTGAA